GCGAGTAGAAATAATTTAGTTTTCAAATACAATACATGTTTATCAGTAACTTTGGGCCAGTTGGTTAATGGGCATGTTTCTCTCAATGATTAGTAAACTGCAGATAATATCTACCTCTACTTTCCCAGAATTTCTGTAGAGAAAGTTTGGGGTGACAATCCAGGTGAAAAGGGAGGCTAGGAATTTTGTCTTGAAGCTGTGTCCATATAACAAGGAAGTGGCTTCCCCTGGAGTGCAAGTTGATTTGCTATGGCTTTTTTTTTTTTTTAATGTTTATTTATTTTTGAGACAGAGAGAGAGCATGAACGGGGGAGGGTCAGAGAGAGAGGGAGACACAGAATCTGAAGCAGGCTCCAGGCTCTGAGCCATCAGCACAGAGCCCGACGCGGGGCTCGAACCCACGGACCATGAGATCATGACCTGAGCTGAAGTCGGACGCTTAACCCACTGAGCCACCCAGGCGCCCCAATTTGCTATGGCTTTGAAGGAGGCTGATGGGCACCACTGTGGAGTTACACTTAGCGGTACAGCTGTCAACTGTACAGCATGGCCAGTATTACATTAGGAGAAGAAAGAATGCCTGGCACACAGTAGATGCTTTGCCATTTAGTTCCCATTATCTCTGTACCCCCCATGTGTAGACAGGAGCAATATTCTTTTTGAAAGCTACAAAGAATGCAAGACTCCAGAAAGGATAACTTTTGTTTAGATAACTTGCCGTCTGACAAAGCTTAGATTATTGGCACAGATATTTCCACTACCACATAAGTGATCACCAGCCATAGAGTATGACATAAACAGTTTTGTAAGGAAGAATATTCAAAAGAACAGCTTGCACTGCTTTCTGATTTTGTATCTTTCATTATTTCTCCAAAGAAAATAAACACAAACTACTGATTAGCCTCTAGATTCATATTCTTTACCATGTCTTCGTAGAAATAAAGCATTTGCTTGAATAGTCAAGAGACAGGCAAGGCAATGGGGGAGAGAAAAAGGCCTTAGAAATGATGGGATGACCAAACCAAACGATCAATTCATGAATATTCATGAGCTGCTTATAACGACAATGGTTTCCTAGTAATACTAAAAACATGTGTAAAACTTAAGAATTTGCAAAAAATATTCCTAACAGTTCATTTATATTTCCAATTTTCAATCACTCTTCTGCCATCATGCCCTCAGAATTCCCCAAACAGAACCATTATCTATTAGAATTGGCCTTAAAAGAAGTCAGCATCTACATTTAATTTTTCTAAAAATTAACTGCCTTCACATTTAATTCAACTATTAAGTAGGGAAAAAGGGTAAGTATGCATCATTCAACAAACACGACTGAGTGCCTGCAAGATGCCAGGTCCCGTACTAAGGTCAGGGAAAACAAAGCTACAATAATGGCCTTGCCCTGGTCATTCTCCATAAACAGATGAATGTCTACACCGCAGTTGCTGAAACAGCCCGAAGAGTGCTATGGAAGGAGAGAGTGGGAGGATGTGGAAGCCTGAGTCCGGGACCCTTTCACAAATAGATGTTGGGCTGGATCTTCACGCCATCCTTGTGATGGACTTTGTCAGGCAGGAGAGATGATTATAGAGTGGAGAAGAGAAAAGAACCATGTGTATAATGGAACTAAAATAAATGTGGTCACGATAGGTGGCACTGCCTGTTTCCTAACCTGAGAAAATGTTACCATTTTTACCTGCTTATGACAGAGACTATTTTCATTGTGTGAAAAGTTGGGGAGGGGCGTGGGTTTTTGTCTCCCCTCTCCTCAGGAACTAATATTTATTGAGTGTCAACACTATATGATTATATTTATAAACAATCTCACTCAAGAGATCAAATGCAAAACTACTTTGCAAGGTAACTAATGCTATCTCTATTTAACAGCTAAGGAAACAAGCTGAGAGTGGGTAAGAATTTCTCTAAGATCCGTGTGACCCTAAAGCCCATGCTTTCCCCCATGCTACCTCCAAAGAAAGATGTTCCATTTGAAACTGGAACTAGGGCCACAGTGGACAAAGCCTGAATCATAGTGAATCTTTCGAGTACTTACTGCATACCAGATACTGTTTGAAGAGACTTGCATGCATTAATGTATTAATCCTCACAATCTCCTTGAGGGGTAGGTATAGTTATTACTGCCATTTAACAGATAAGGAAACTGAGGCACAAAGAAATCAGATAACTTGCCCTGAGTTGGTCAAAGAGATGGTAATTGGCAGAGCCAAGATTGAAGTGCAGACAGTCTGGCTCCCTGGTCCCTGTGCTTAAGGATTCCACATTCCACCTTTTCACTCAGACCAGAGCCTAACTCTAGACCACCAGCAAAGACCCTGCTGGGAAACATATCCCAGGCAGAAGGCACAAAGTGGTGAAGAGGTCTTATGTCCCGAAATAATAGTGAGAAAAAAGAACTTGGTGTGGCTTAAGAATCAAGTCTTGATTGATGAGGAGTTGCGAGGACAGTAGGAGGAGGGATATGAAGCAGGAAAGATAGGTCTTTCTCCTTAATACTATGCAGATGAAAGGTTGTTAATTTGCATTTTCTGGTTTTTTTAAAATAGGAAATTTCAAGGAAAGCATTTTCAATATTAAAGCAGACAAATGCATAATGACATTATATTACATGCATATATAGACCAATTACTTGCTTGCAAAGATGCTCAACCATTTTCTACTTGAGACTCTATGAATTGACCACTTTATTATATTGTATTTTGACTAAACATGAGACTTCTAATAATTATTTGAAAAGAAGTTGGTGCAACATACTTTAGGTTTTTGTAACCTCTTGTGGCATATTTATGCCACAATAAAATTATTCAGCTAAATGTAATATCTTTTAAAAACTTTGTTGTTTTTAAACTAATCAACTCCAAAATTTAAAAGAAGCAATTATCATTTGATCTAAATATATTCTCATCAACCACCAGATGGCATAAGGTGTGAGAGTTTTATTCTGACAGGGTCAACCACACACATGATAATTTCAACTATAACTTCAAAATAATGTATTTGGAAAAATGTTCTAGCACTCAAACAGCTCACAATTATTTCAGCCATATGTAGAAGTGGATGGATAAGTTGAAAATGACATAGTCCTACTTTTTCTAAATTTTGGGTTCTGTGGGACGCTGGCATTACATAATGAATCAATGATCAAACAAATAAAACAAAGCAGTTCTGTTACAGGAAATAAAAAAGGAAGTCATGTCAAAACAAAATTAACCTTATGTTCTAAATAGCTTTCTTTAACTCTAAATGAAACTTGAAACATGCCTTCATGAAAAAACCATGCTTGTATGCTTCAATTTCTGCTGTAAAAAAACTTTTTCTATGGCCTATAATTTATTCTGAAGGTAGAAAAGTATCAAATGCAACAGCTTTTCTCCACTCTGGCTTGAAGGGAAGCTGTCACAGAAGTCAACTGAAAAAAAGAATATCCAGGTGAAAAACCCAATCTGAACTATGATGTTAAAAAGGAAAATATATATGTTTTAAGAACCTCAATTTCTTTTTAAAATTTTTTTAAATGTTTATTTTTGAGAGAGAGAGAGAGAGAGAGAGAGAGAGAGAGATTGAGAAATAAGGACAGAGAGAGAGGGAGACACAGAGTTCGAAGCAGGCTCCAGTCTCTGAGCTGTCAGCACAGACCCTGAAGCAAGGCTCGAAATCATGAACCACAAGATCATGACCTGAGCTGAAGTTGAACTCTTAACTGACTGAACCACCTAGGCGCACCTAAGAACTTCAATTTCTACCGAAATTCAAAACACTTTACATTATTTTTATTAATCCTGTATATCCTTCTAGAAATAAACAATCACATTGATAACAAGCCAAAACTGAGGTAAATGAGGTAAATGCAAAAAATACAAAACAAAACTCCCCTAGTGTTTAACTCCCTTAGTGTTGTGTGGCACATTCACCAAGTCCTTTGAAATAAGCACACCAGAATAAATAACTACGATAGCCTAGTCAAACCAGAGAGCTCAGATGCAATCTTTTTCCAGCATGATGAAAAGGCAAAACTGCCTTTAGGAGTCAAGAGACCAAAGATGAGATTAAGATCTCTTCTCTAATGTGGTCTAATAGTCAATGATTTCTGAAGATACTATAATAATTTTATATTTTATAGATGCTTCCCCATTAGATGAAATATATTTGGTTCTTGAATGAAAAGTCCATGGATGATGAAAAGATATTTGGAACTATGAGAAGGATGAAAAGCTAACTGGTGACACAGAAACAGGATGTACTTTTTGTTTTTTTGGTTTTTTTTTCTGATTTCTAAGTCATATGATAATGAGGATAATGGGAATTGGAGTAAGAGAAGTAATGCGGAGGGTGTTGTGAGAGTCCTTCACTGTGGCACATGTCCAACTTTATTTTTGGCCGTCAATAGGTGAACATTAATAAAGGGAACCCTCATTAAAGTGAAGTTGGGGGGCCAGAAGGTGGAGCCCTACTACCCAATTTCAATTACAGGAAGAACTGTCCATTATAGACCCCAACAGAAGAATCATCAGCAGGAAAGAATCATCAATTACAGATACCAACAGGGAAAGATGTACATTGCCTCTCCTATAAGAAACTGACTGCACCAGCAACTTAGCCAATGAGAAACTGTCATCATCCTGAACACGTGCTTTCAAAACAACTCCTCTCAACTTATTCCTTCTCTATAAAATGATGTTCCTCTCCCTTTGTTTGTTGGACTAGCCCTGTGGTTTTGACCTGGATTTCAAGTCCTAGATTGCAATTCTCTGCTATTCCCGAATAAACCCATTTTTGCTGGTCAAATAAATTTTAAAGGTTAACAGTAGCAAAGATATTTCCCACCTAGGTTCATAGGAAAGGGAAAAAGATGCTTCTTATTCTCGTTCTTATGTTTAGAAAAGGGCATCCGTTGTTACTTCCAAAGACTTCTTTTGATGGTTCAGCTAGACAGTAGAAAGTAGAATGATAGATGTTTTGAGTTAAGAAGATAATCAAATTACTTACTTTAGATTCCATTCTCTAGGATGTTTTAATTCAAGTTTCTTCCATTTATGATACTCTCCAATAAAATGTGGATCTTCAGGCACTGAAATTAGAGTTTTGAAAAAGGTTCAAAGTTTAAAATAATTCACTTTTCATTAAGTTGATATGTGGCAATGATGTACACTATATAGTTCAAGCCAAATTACAATGCTCACTTTCCAAATTTCTTCCTTTTACTTGAACTTTGTATTATTGGATATTTGAAATAAGTAGATTTTTCTTCAAAATTTCCATTATAATGACATTTGTTTATATATCTTTTATAGTAATGAAGAAGGTGTTAAAATAACTCATATAGAAACTACAGACACCACAGTTTAACAAAATTCAAACTCAGCACCAGAAGTAAAAATATAAAAGTGACATTATAGGTCTTGATCTTTCACAAAGCAAGAATCTACAATGGATGATCATCCATTCCAGCCTCTGAATGAGTCCCTTGCCAACGACAGAAAACTCTCCTCTCTGTTGTTGGGAAACTGCCTTTTCCATTGTCAGACAGTAAGGTCACAATGTCTTTCCTTAACCTGAGTGCTGAGTCTTTACTGGTCCTAGTTCAGATCTCTGCAGTAATACTGACCAGGTTCATCCCTTCCCCATGTGAGAGAGTCCTTCTAAAATTTGAAGATACCTATCAGAGCCTCAGTTCCCTCAACTTTATCTTAAGATATGGTTTTCTAGGGACCTAATCATCCTCACCATCCTGGTGGTGAACTTTGCTAACGTTCCTATTAAAGTTTACGTCCAGAACTGGCTCTGGATCTTGATTTCTTTTGAATAGCAAAGATTTAAGTGGGTTACTACCTCTCTTGATCTGTGTGCTATTCTATCACTTCAGCTCAGATCTGCATTAATATTTTCTGAAAATCAAAGTACACAATTGCCTCATATGTTTGTGGTTAATTATAAGCCTTATGCCTTCAATAAAATTAACAAAAAATTTACTGAAAGTCAGATCATACACACAAACATATCTATCTATCTATCTATCTATCTATCTATCTATCTACCTATCATCTCCCTGTTTCTTGTAATTGTCCTGGGTTTATAGTCTTGAACTATTTAACCAACTAGATGCTCTCCTCCAGTCTTATCTGGAGCTTCCTTCTAAACAATGATTGATTGATTAACTGTTGCTAGTTTGGTGAATTATATCATTGATAGAAACATTTAAATTGAATAGCTCTCATTTTCTTCTATTAATATTATTTTAGCCAGCAGTGTTCCTGTCTATTCCTTTATTTCTTTTCCTCCTTCAAACACACACAAGTACACATACATACATGCTCTTTTTTAAAATTTTTTTAAACGTTTATTTATTTTTGAGACAGAGAGAGACAGAGCATGAACGGGGGAGGGTCAGAGAGAGAGGGAGACACAGAATCTGAAACAGGCTCTAGGCTCTGAGCAGTCAGCACAGAGCCCGACACGGGGCTCGAACTCACAGACCGCGAGATCGTGACCTGAGCCAAAGTCAGACGCTTAACCGACTGAGCCACCCCGGCGCCCCGCATACATACATGCTCTTATAGGCTTTAAACTTCATACTCCTACTTCTACTATTTGGATTTATACTTCTCCCTTCCTTTATATTAAGGAAGCAAATATGAGCTCCTTAAGGTTCTTAGTGAGGTCTCACTATTTCCTTTAGATGATTATAATAACTACTATTAACAGAGTTAATAGTACTTACTGCACATCGGGCATCTGTAAAGAAGGTACGTAGTGGTTACCATTGCAATATACACTTTACAGATGAACAAACAGAAAATTTGAGTAATGTCTTCTCATTGGGACTATTCACTACCACTTAGATGAAATTTAAATTTGAGGATTCTATTCAAGGATAATTCATGTTGCCTTATTTTTTTTGAAATTGCCCTTCCTACATTTTCTATTTGAATATGTACATCAGTCTCTTCCTTATATATTATGAAACCCCAAATGGCATGGTCATCCTTCCTGGAATATTTCCATTAATTTTATATCACTGACTCATTTTCTTCATTGCTTTCTCTACTGAGAGCTGAAAATTGCCACAGTATTTGTACAGACTTTTAATGCTTCCTATTTTATCCCCATAATTTTCTCATTCACCTGTTCTTGTACCATCTGATCATAAACTTCTCAAAAAGCTTATCATAATATGTATGTATCTAGACATAGAAGATGCTAAATGAGTGATATTGATAGGAGGGAAATAATTAAGGGGCGGGGGGATGTGAGAGCGAGCAGGAGGAAAGGACCAGTGAAATTTCGCCAGTTCTTGAAGCTAAAATTCCCCATTATGACCATATCTTGTCTTTGTGGCAGTTCTGTAGTCTCTGGTAGAAAATCATCTATTGACTCCATGATAAACTTCTTTCTTCCCTTCCTTCTAGGATAACTGGGCGTCACCTTTACTTTGTTTTTGCCATGACACATTTCTTATGCAACATCTGTATAGGTTGATCTACATTTTTTTCCACTGCTGGGACTGTCACATCCAAAGAAATGTAGTAGCATCAATTTGCCTTAGCATGCTTTGGTTTCACATGTATTATCTCATACTACCATAGAACAACTTAAAATAGATTGGAATGTTTCTTTCAATGAATAGAAATTTAAAAATGAGGTACAAAGATTTAAGTGACTAACCTAAATTCACTTAACTGTAAGTGGCAGAACTAGTACAGGGCAACTTCCAACATCATACTCTTCCCACTGCAGCCTTTCCAACCTTGGTTGCACATTGTAATCACCTGGGGAGCTTTAAAAACTACTACTGCCAGGTCCTGCTCCCGGAGATCCTGATGTAATTAGTCTGGGGGTGTGCCTTTTACATGGGAATTTTTACAAGTTCCTCTGGTGGTTCTAATGAGTAGTCAAGACTGAGAAGCACTGCATTAGAATTAGATAATGCTGCCTCTTGCATCTAAATGCATTCTGGAGACACTTGCCCTGATTGCTGGCTCAAAGACTCAAAGAATGGAAGTCTTCTAGGGTGAAAGCAAACATCCCCATGATGCTTCAGGGTGTCTGGTCTGTCTGATGACAGCAAACAAACACCAGGAAGCCTCTACTCAGTATTACAGGGTACACTGGTCTGAAGGGATTTTTTTCCTTTAACATAAACATTTCCTTATGGGAATCATATTCTGTCATTAAAGGTGCTGTTACCCACAACCATATGTATTCGTTTGTTCTCTGCCAAACTTTTATTTGCCATTCTATACTGATGGATAGAGAACAGAGGATCATCAGTGCATTTCCCCATATGATTGCCTATGATTATAAACTAATAATCATAATTATTGAAAAATGTACTGCATATACTGCAGAGTTTGAATTTACATCTCAGGCTATAGAGAGATAGCATTTTTATATAATATTATGGAGGCAGTTTTAGTATGTGAAAAAGAGCAATAAATGTAGAGTCAGAGGAATTGGTTCAAGTCAAGAGTCAGAACCTACTTGTACTAATAATAAGCACACTTACTGAGCACTCACTATGTGCTAGGCACTGTTGTAAGTACTTCAGTGCTATGAGGTACGTGCTATAATTATTCTCATTTTACAGACGAGGGAACTGACAGAGAGGATAAGAAACTTACCCAAGGTCACACAGCTACTAAATGGAAGAACCAGGATTAAATATCAGCAATTTGGTTCCAGAATTTACACTCTTTATCAATGTATAATATTCCCTCTTACCTGTGTGACCTTAGGTAAATTTCTTAGCTGCTCTTGGTCTTGGTTTTTTCATCTGTAAAACAGAGTGATGACAGTAATAATGCCTGGTTCATAGTGTTGACATACTACTATACATGACATATATTGGTTGACAAATGAATAAAAGAATAAGATTGGGATGATCAAAAAATAATGGAGAGTATACTTTGTAAACTGTATTGTGCATGTATACACTTACCATTATTTTGGCACACATAACTATGGGTAGATTTGTTGCACAAAGATATGGAAAAGAGTTAATACCCCAAATCAAAATACAACCACTCATCAATATTCATAAAAAAGCTTTCAAAAATATGCACAAGAATTTCATAATCTTTCCAGTGATAAGGATGTAACTGTAGAAGCTGAAGTTATTAGAAGTTTCCCTTTGATTTCTGAGTGCTTGAAGAAGCATTCTATATGAAAGCTTAATCTTTATTACACACAAAATCAGGCCGTTAAAAAAGAGTATTGGATCTCATCTAGCTGAATTATCCAAAGACAAAATGGCCAGCAGCATATGTAAGGTTTAAATTTAAATTCAATAAAAAAATGTTTATTTATTTTGAGAGAGAGTGTGTAAGCATGCAAGCAGGGGGAGGGGAAAACAGAGAGGGAGAGAGACTATCCCAAGCAGGCTCTGCACTGTAAGTACAGAGCTTGATACTTACACCGGGCTCGATCTTACCAATCATGAGATCATGACCTGAGCCAAAATCAAGAGTTGGATGCTTGACCGACTGAGCCACCCAGGCACCCCTAAGTTTAATTTGTAAAAATAAAATGCTTATTATTACTGAAGGAAACCTCCTGAAACATTCTTGTAACAAATCCCTAGAAGAAGAATAGGTAGGGTGATTGTGAAATCTTGTTCCAAAGGTTAGAATCAAAGTCTCTGAAATTCTTCTGAGCTAGAGGTAGCCACTAAAGCTCACAAAAAGGGTTGAATTACATACTAAGTTAGTGATAGATGTAGAAAGGAGAACCAAGTTAAACATTTTGGTGGCAAGTCTTTTAAAGAAGAAACTGTAGTCAGTGGTGCTTAATTAATTTCTTTCATTTTTAGTTGTTGTTTATTGCAACACAATTATTTCCAAATTTCTTTAAGTTCTGGCATGTGCCACTATTATTATTAGTAGTAGTAGTAGGCTTCATGCCCAGTGAAGAACCCAAGGTGGGGCTCAAACCCACAATCATGTGAGATCATGACCTGAGCCAAGATCAAGAGTCAGACACTCAACCGACTGAGCCACCCAGGTGCCCCTATTTTTTTTTTTCTTAGCAGTTTGGAGTTTCCAAATGTTTCTGTATATTTACATGTTATTCCAAAAAGCACCATTCTTCTTCTTCTTCTTCTTCTTCTTCTTCTTCTTCTTCTTCTTCTCCTCCTCCTCTTTTTTTTTTTTTTTTTTTTTTTTAGAGAAAAAGAGAGCATGTGAGTGGGGGAAAGGGGCAGAAAGAAAGAGAATCTTAAGCAGGTTCCACACTCAGGGAAGAACCTGGGATCATTACCTGAGCTGAAACCAGGAGTCAGTTGCTCAGCAAACTGGGCCACCCAGGTGCCTCTTCCATAAAGCACCATTCTAAATCAGTTCGTTTGTTTTATGGTTGAAGGAGTTGGATGTTCAGTTGTTCCCTAGAATGTGCCAATTGCCTCTCTACCCCTTGTTTGTTAAGGGTTCCTGCCTCCTGGAACCTATCTGAGTTCCTCGGTGCCTCCACATAGGAGGTACTCAAGATGTGTTTGCCGAGTTGACTAAGCAGGACCCAAACACATATCTTTGAAATGAAGTAAATATTCATGTACTCTGGTATCAAAAGTAATAAAATTCTTTATAGTGCTAGAGTTGCTAAAGATTGTGTTTCTTAAAGCACCTTTAATCATTTTTCTTAACCACAAATCTAGGATAAGTGAGGAAGGTAATATGTGATCACAAAATAATAACTAACATCGTGAAAGAACATGTAATTTCTTAGAAGTTATTGATCTAATTATCTTTTTAATATTTGTTAAGCTTAGTATTGTTTTGTTCTCTAATTTGTGTCTTAAAACTACACACTTTTTTTTTTGGTGATATTTTGTTCTATTGAAACCAAATATGAGCCTATCACAATGGTGAGATGCAAGTCGATGAGACCACAATTAAGGCAGTGGTCATCAGGATGGAGTGGAAAGGGAAACATTTTTTTTTCTTTAGAGCAGGGGAAGAGGGTAGAGGGAGAGAGAGAGAGTATCTTAAGCAGGAGCCCTACATGGGGTTTGATCCCACAATCCTGGGATCATGACCCAAGCGGAAATCAACAGTCGGTCATTCAACCGACTGAGCCACCCAGGTGCCCTGAAGGAGGAACTTTCTTAATGTTGTAGGAGATAAAGTAAACAAGGCTTAATCTGGGAGACAGAGAGTTCTAGGAAATGTCTTTGATTCTGGTTTAGGCAAGTAAATGCAATAATGGTGATCTACCCCTAACCCAGAGAGCTAATAAAGGAGGGAGGCTAAGTTTTGGGGCAAGATAATGAATTCGCTTTGGGATATCTTAAGTAGGAGATGCCTATAACACATGTAGGTGGGATAGTCCAACGCACAATTATAAATATGCATGCAGAATTCAGAAGAGGCGTTGGCTAGAAATGAGGCTTTGAGAATTATTGGCAGGTAGGCTAATGAAAATCATGGTGATAGCTGAGGTCTCTCAAAGAGAGTGGGCAGAGAGAACTGAATGAAGAAGATTTTGCTAGAGGTGCCTGGGTGGCTCAGTCAGTTGAGTGTCTGACTCTTAACTTCCCATTGGGTCATGATCCCATGGTCATGAGATCATACCCGCATTGGGCCCCATGTCGGGCTCCAAGCTGAGTGTAAAGCCTGCTTGGGATTCTCTTTCTCTTTTGTTCCCTCTCTGCCCCTCCCCCACTCGCACATGCTTTGTCTCTCTCTCTCTCTCTCTCTCTGTCTCTCTCTCTCTCTCTCTAATAAAAAAAAGTTTTTGCTAAAGAAAGAGGCAGGGGAGCACTGAGGAGGGGAGGAGACAAACCATGGATGATGGTGTCATCTAACTCAAGGAGGGCATAGCAAATGAGAGTACAAGTAAAGATAAAGACTAAAAGGGTGGGGCGCCTGGCTGGCTCGGTTGTTGCGACTCTTGATCTCAGGGTTGTGAGTTTGAGCACCACACTGGGCGAGGAGCCCACTTAAAATTAAAAAAGAAGGTTATCACTGAGCCTGGGAGTTAGGATGTCATGGGTAACTTCAGAATGCATCATTTCAGCAGGACAGACTGGATAACCTACTTGGATCCAAATAATTAAACAGCACACAAGAGATTCAATTAAATAAGACCAGTAAGCTGTCTGGCTCTCCCCTTTTGCCTTTTTGGCTCCTAATGTATGATGGCAACAGGTGATTCGTCCCTAGGTTGATCACTGAAAGCCCTAGGCTCATATGTTTTCTTGTTGTCTTTCTACTTAATACTCTCTCTGGCTTTGAGGATAATTGTGTTTAGAATCAAAAAGGCTCCTCTTGCTATGAAGGCTTCTTTTTGGGGTGAAGGGAGTAAAGTAAGCCTCATGAGACTGAGGACTTCATCTTTTATTCCTCCAAATGTCTATCTTTCCTTCTGGCTTTTAAGAAGACTGCAGTCCAGGGCTCTGTACAAAAGAGGAACCAAATTAATAGATGTTGAGTGATTCATATATAGAGGCAACAGAGAAATTTATCACCTTCAGATTACAAATATATGTCAATTAGTCTTTGAAAGCAAGACAAGTTGAGAATAATTAAGAGATTAATATATACCAAAAGGACATAAGATAAGGCTAGATCACCTTACATGGACTTCTATAATACTCTGTGGCTTTGGATGTGGCTATTCCAGACCATGTCTTGTAGTAATCATTAAATGAGACTGCCTTAGTTGATCTGAAAATATACATAAAAATCAGACAATGAGTATTTGCAAGTTTGCTTTTTAAAATTATTTTATCAGATTGGACAGTTTCAGATAACAATATCTTGCCATAAGACAGTAAACTCATTTGCAGTTTCTAATAAGTGATCTAACATTAATTTCTGCACTAACACATAAAAATCACAAAACGAAAATCTTGCCAAACATATTTCAAAGGTAAATGTAAAATGTGCATCCATGTGCATATTATAAAGAGAAAAATATAGGTTTAAGATATCTGCCTTTCATGACTAACATGAAAAAAAGAATTTTAAGAAAAGCATCAGATTTGCATGTTTTCTCTTTCTTCAATAAACAGTTTTCTTAAATATCTATGCCAAATTTTAGTAAAATCACCTTTATTTCCCTTTTATAATGAGGAAAAATAAAACACCAGAATTGAGATCAGTTTAATTTTCACACAAAATCTGGCCATTTTCATAGAGGGGGGAAAAACCCAACTCTTTTCTAGTAATCTTGCCTGCACTTTTCCTTCCCTGTGCTGACATTACTTTATCCTAATGGTAGAGCAAAGATTGTTAGAAAATACTGAACAGGAACTGTGAAGCTGTCACTTAAATAACTACATTTCCAACCTTTTTTTATACCAACATTTTGACTGCAGAGATCCTCAACACTCTACAAACAAAACATGACTTTGGGATATTTTCAGATGTGTGAAATCACCAATTAACTGGCTTACATAGATGCTGCATCAGATATAAAAGACCTTATGTCTGTTTTCTTTGAAGTTCTTAGCTCTTCGGAAGAAGTGACTTTTCAGTTAGAACAAGTACACCAGCATTAATTTTCCTAGGTGAATTGTAGCTACCTTGAAGTAAATATCGGATTCAATTTTGAAATGGATGGTACAATAGCTAAATTGTTTAATGCGTTCATTTATTTAAGTGATAATTACAGACACATCATTTAAAGAGTAACATTTTTCAAATGCGTTATTGCTTTTGCAATCACACGTAAGTAGAAATCTGAAACTGGGTGAAGATAAATTAATCACCGCTATTATGGCTCCCAGAGCTGCGTGCAGAGCTTTACACCAGTAAATGACATATTAAACTAACATTAATTTTGCCAACGAAATGTTTCAGCATTTGGCAAGAGAGGTAACAAAATGAAAGGCTGCATTATATCTCCTGCATGAAGAAGCTGGTGATCAATTTGCTGTCACAGATCATTTAGCAGACAACAATGACCCAAGAGGAAGGAAACTGTCAACACACTGTCTCGTGAAAAAAAAATACACCATCTTTAGACACAATCGTCTCCATTGTTTTTTTGTCTGTTTGACGATGACCCATGACCCTCTCCCTTCCCAGTGGTGTCCTGTTCAATTTCAAACTGTTAGCCTTCAGGGGCTTTCTTTTCTTCCCCAGAATAATTTAAAATATTCCTCAAAAAAGGTGTAACTTCAGTATAGTTTGAATACACAAAGCAGAATGTCTTAAACATTTGAGAAAATTTGCATTTCCAAGTCTGTAAAAGAAACAGCCCCTTAAAATAAGAGAACAGTAACTATTTTTATGGTAATTCAGATAAGCGACTAAGTTTACAGGGAATTATACAAACTACACGTGTTTATAATTTGAAACATGGACAGGAATTTACTGAGTATTATCATTGGCATTATGAATATGAAAAAGCAGGAGATATAATTTTAAACTGAACATTAGAGCCTATTAGCCTATTGGGAAAATAAGATATATACCCAAATTGGCAAACAGAATAGCTCTATGTTTAACACATAAAGTGTTGTATCATTTAACAGAGACATTTGGAGATGACAATGACAGATAGTTCTTTGGCAGTGGCAGCAAGCTAAAAAGGTCGGAAGAGGGAGGTGTGACTTTGTCTCGGAGGCTTTAGGGAAGGAGTCACCTGGGATATGAACCTGGAAGAGATGGAAGCATTTTAGGCCAGGAGACGAGTATTAGCAATAGCTCAGATGGGAAGGAGCACAGTGTATGCACGTGCACATGTGTACAGACCACGTTGAGGGAAGAGACAATAATGACAAGAGAACCAACCGTAGTGGAGAGTTCCAATTTCAGAGCAATTGGAATTCGACAAAATAGTTGAAAGTGGGCAATGCAGGGTCTTCAGATTTAGGCAGAGAATGGGTTAGAGTTGATTCAGTATTCTGATTTATTGGGTGATAGACAGCAATCAGAAGTTCTTGAATAAGGCAAATAAATTATGGAACGAGTGTGTAAGTTTTTTCTGGCTTTAGTATGCAGGGTGGAGCATATAAGAGACCAAATGCAGGCAGACAAGCTAGGAAACAGATGCAGAAATTCAGGCAAGAAACACAGAGCCAATAGAGGGTGGGAGCAGAGACTGTGAAAGGGAGGAGACGAAACTCTGACACAATAAATGAAATGACTGGACTGGTTTTCTGATAGGGTGTGTGAAAGGTGAAGGAATCTGGGGGTCAAATATTCTTCTAAAGCCCGGAAGACCATTTAGTTTTGCTATTAACAGAAAGCATCTACAGAGTCTGAAGTAAAATATGAGTTTAAACTTAAACATGGGTTTTAGGTGATGACCCTTAGGAGTGTGACTGAGAAATTGAGACTGGAAATAAGAGATTAGGGTCAAATCAACATAAAGGTTGATAGATGATGCCATTAGGGAAAACAAACATAGAAAGAGTAAGTAAGTGTTTAGAAAAGAAAGATCAGAAGCCAATTCAGAGTTAAGAGGAGCCATTGAAGGAAACAAAAAGGATCATAAAGGGAAGAAGAGACTCAAGGTAGTGTTACTTCATGGAAGCAAGATCCCACCCATAACTCAAGCCTACTGACTAAACCCCTACAAATCTCTGGATATTTAGTTATGTAGCATCATGATTAAGAGTATAGGCTCTGGAATCATCTGGCGTGTGTTAAAACACTCAGGTACTGCTACTTGTTAGCTGTGTGACTCCAGGCAGACAATAATTTCACTCCTGTTTCTTCATGTATAAAATTAACTTAGAACTTTCTCCAGTGGTTGTGGTGAGCATTCAGTGAAGTCTTCCATGGGAACAGCCAGGCAGGGAGTTTAGCATCCCTTAACCCTCAGTGTCAGCTACAGCTGCTTCTCTCCATTGCTCTGAATAAGTACCTCATCATTTCTCTTCTGCAAACTCTAAACAGCTTTCTAATTGTTTTTCTGTCTCTCCCTATTCCAGATTATCATGCATCTGCTTGCAAACCATGTTTGGTGACTTAATTCTACAGGATAAAGTCTAAACACTTTCAAATAGAACTCGAGGTGTGTTAGCATCTGGCTATTTCCAACCGTTTCTTCCACCATCATCTGCACGTACAGAGGCTCCATCATATGGAACTTCCTGCTGATCCTGAGTTTGCCACATATTACATTTCTGTATGTGTGCAAGCAGTCCTATCTAAAGACTCGTTTGTCTCCTGTGCCTGTCCAACTCTTACTTACCAAGGTTCCAGTCCAATAAAAATAGTATGTATATGAAGGTTGTCACAGCGGACATTGTGGTCGCCTCTCCAACAGTAACTATTCCATTCCTCCCCCTCACATACATGCCATTCAGCCTGACAGGACTGACCTCCACCCTGACTCTAAGTCAGGGCCTGATGGGTTTAAGGCTTTCTGACAATGGGAACTGTTTAGGGACAGGAACACGACCTAGAAAGATCCAGTCAGACTGAAATTTATTCTCACTTTCCAGTGAATCCTGATAACTCGCAGTGTCAATCCTCTTTGTTCTTCTTCAAGATTGTCTTGTTATCCTAAATCCTTTGCATTTTTAGATATACTTTAAAACCATCCTGTTAATTTCCAGGGGAAAAAAACTGCTGATATTTTGACTGAGATTGAATTGAATCTATAGACTAATTTGGAAAGAACTGACATTGCAATAATACTCAGTCTCTCCCAAGTCACAAACTTTGTATATCTATTTCTTTAGGTCTTTTAAAATTTCTCCCAGATACATTTTGTGGGTATTGGCATAGATGTCTTTTGTTATGTTTTGATGCTATTGTAATGGTATTTCTAACACTTCCATTTCTATGTATTGATTGCTAGTATATAAAAATATAGTTGCTTTTTTAAATGTTCATCTTCTATCCAGGGGTCTAGCTAAATTCACTTATTAATTTTCGAACTTTGTATATTCATTTGGATTTTACTATTATATAATCCCATTATCTGTGAATAAAGATGGTTTACTTCCTCCTTTCCAAACTTTATAACTTTTCTTCCTGGCTTCATTGCACTGGCTAGGACTTCTAGCACAGTGCTGAATAGAAGTGGTGATAATGGACATACTTGTCTCATTAAACTCAGGAGGAAAGCATTCAACATTTCACATCTGAGTATGAGGTTTGCCATTGGATTTTTATAGATTTTCTTTATTGGAATAAGGAATTTCTTCTCTATTCCTACTTTGGTGAGAATTTTTATCATGAATGGGTGATAAATTTTAGCAAATACTTTTTCCTGATTCGTTGAGATCATTTTATGTTTTTTTTCCTTTATTTGGTTAACTTCGTGAGTTATGCTGATTTAAAAATTTTAACCCAACCTGGCTTTCCTGAAATGAAGCCCTCTTAGTCATGATGTATTACCCCTTTTTATGTATAAGTGGATCCAATTTGCTAATATTTTGATTAGGCTTTATGCTTCTGTGTTTATGAGAGGTTATGGCCTATAATTTTTCTTTCGTGTAATAATCTCAGATTTTAGAATCAGACTTTGGAAGTTTGGAGCTATACCCATTTTCTCTATTCAGCAAAAAAAATTTGAATACTTTTCTTCAAAAACTTTTTTTTTTAATTTTGAAATACAGGCATACCTCATTATATTGTGCTTTTCAGATACTGCAGTTTTTGCAAATGGAAGGTTTGTGTTAACATTGTGTCAAGCAAATCTGTGCCAGTTTTCCAACAGCTTTTTTTCACTTCCTGTCTCTTTGTCACATTTTGGTAATTCTCACAATATTTCAAACTTTTCCATTATTATATTAGTTATGATGATCTGTGGCCAGTGATCTTTGATGTTACCATGGTAATTATTTTGGGGTGCCATGAACCACACGTGTGCAGTATGGCAAACCTAATTGGTAGATGTGAGTGTTCTGGCTGCTCCACCCACTGGTCGTTCCCCTGTCTCTCTCCCTCTCCTCCAGTCTCCCTATTCTGTGACAGAACAATATTGGAATTAGTCCAACTAACAACCTTACGATGGTCTCAGCGTTCAAGTGTAAGGAAGAGAAGCAGAAGCTAGACATGACTAAGCTTAGGGAGAAGGCGTATCGAAAGCTGAGAGAGGCTGAAAACTAGGCTTCTTGAACCAAACAGTCAAGTTGTGAAGGCAAAGGAGAAGCTCTTGAAGGAAATTAAAAGTGTTACTTCACTGAACACAGGAATGATAGAAAGCAAAACAGCCTTAATGTGGATATGGAGAAAATCTGCATGGTCTGGATAGAAGATCTCACCAACCACAACATTCCCTTAAGACAAAGACCAGTCCAGAGCATGGCGCTAACTCTCTTCATTCCGTGAGGGCTGAGAGAGGTGAAGAAGCTGCCAAAGACAAGTCTGAAGTTGGCAGAGGCTGGTTCAGGGGTTTAAGGAACGAAGCTGTCTCTGTAACATAAAGAAGCAAGGTGAAGCTGCAAGTGCTGATGTACAAACTGCAGCAAGTTCTCCAGAAGGTTTAGCTCAGATACTAACACATGTGATAGTTCATAACCCATCCTTCGCATCCTTTTAATGTTAGTAAGTAAAAGTCTGCAGAATCATGTCCAAAAAGACACTTCTATTTTCTTGATATCTAGCAACCAATCCCCTTCTCCCTCACAACTTCTAGTTTTGTACCTCAGGTCCTGATACACTTTGGTTGCCCCTGGCATCTGGATTCATTTTTACTTTTTATTCTGGATGTCAAATTACTTTCCCTTGGGTCAGGTGGTGGAGAAATATGCTCTCTCACACTTCCATGCTTCTGAATGCGTTATTCCCTCTGCCTGAATGTCCTCCTCTTGTCTGTAGGTGACTTCCTATTCTCCCTTTAGAAATCACCTCAGGCATCACCTTCTCCTGGAAGCTGGTCTTTGTATGCCCCTCCTCCCACTCTGGCAGTCCAAGCTTTAGGAAGATATTTCTTCCTCTATGCTCCTCCAACATCTAGATCTCATCTCTGTAATAGGACTTACTATATTGTAAGTATTAATGTAATAAAACAATTAATAGGTATGGCCCAATGGAATGTTAGATTGCATTTAACAGAGGTAGCACCAGTGAGAGGTGACTTGGTGAAAAAAATATAAGCCTCTAAAGGAGGGCTTTAAAAAAAAAGCTACAGGAGAAGAATTTTCTACTCAATATGACTCATTTTAAATATGATTCCCTCTGACTTCAGCATTCCCCCCAGCCGCAATCCTGGTATTAGCCCTGTGGCCTTCCAACTACATCTTTTGGTAGAAGTTGCTCCCTATATGGTCCTATAGGATGGACAGTCAGGCACACTCCCCACACTATCTTCTCCTCAGAGGAGAGCTTCCAATCCTAGACTATAAATCATGTGAGACCAAAGATTATATATTATTCAGATGTGTGTCCCCAGTATGGGAGCACAGTGTCTATTACAGAGCAAATGCTCAGTGAATATATTTTAAATAAATGAGTAAGTAGCTGTTCTCCCAGAAGCCACCCTATATCTTGTTAAGTGGCATCCTACAGCCCATGTGCAAACTTCCCAGGTGATAAGCACAAGCCTAAACCATTTTTAATTACGGAACACCTACTGGATTCCCCTGACTATATTCTACTCAACTGACTAGACTTTACCTATGTTTTGCTTTATCTTTTGGAAACAGGGTCTTAACTGTCTGGCTAGGCCTCTGGAATTCATTTCTGTAGTCAGGTTAATACTTTTAGCTCATAAAGTAGAGTAAAGTCCTAGCATATGGTGCTAGACAGACAATGCTAAGAGCAGCATCTCTTTTGGAATAACTTCTGTGAGACCTCATTGTACAAGTCTACATAAAATCTAAAAACAAGGGGCACCTGGGTGGCTCAGTCAGTTGAGCATCCGACATTGGCTCAGGTCATGATCTCGTGGTTCACGAGTTTGAGCCCCGCATCGAGCTCTGCACTGATAGCACAGAGCCTCGAGTCTGCTTCAGATTCTGTGTCCCCCTCTCTCTCTGTCCCTCCCATGCTCATGCTCTCTCTCTCAAAAACAAACAAACAAACATTTAAAACATTTTAAAAATTAAAAGCTAGACATAACTGAGCTTTGTCCCATAACAAATGTACCAGGGGTAAACATTTGGAGCCACAGATATATAATAAATTGCAGCCTCCTATATACTAGGAGTTTAGAGTATCATTGAAATATAGATTATATTGCTTCAATTGAGTCCTAGAGATTTCTCTAGAGATTGCAGGCTAGCACTATGGGAACACCACAGATAAGACCTGATTCTGGCTTCATTTATTCTGGGTTTCATTCAGAGGACCAGCCAACGCTGAGACCACAGAAGTTCTTCTGGCCTCCATTTCACTGCCTTATTAGTAAATGCTGGCACCGTACTTTTATGCACTGCAAATGATTATACCACAAATAGAAAGAGCTTTGTAAAATTCCAGGGACATTCATGTTTTAGAGGAGATAAAACAGTGTTGGCACATTCAACAACTATTTACCACAGGTCCATTTTGTGCCAAGAAGGTAAGTTGCTTCTTTCCATTTGATAAGTTTAAGGGGCAGTGATGTCCTTTACTGAATGCCAACAGGGTGCACTATTTATTAGATTGTACTTGCCTTCCTGAAACTTTCCAAGACTTTCACCAACCGAAGCCACCTGAGTTACCTAACTTGCTCATCTTTTATATAGGGCCGGTCAAGAAAGCATAAGCTGAAGCAAGTCATTTCAACACTAGTTAACTGTCTTCTATATCTGACTGACTACAAAATTAAGGCTGATGGAAATGCTCAAGAAACTAAATACTGCAGAACTATAAATGAGAACATTGTCCTGTACCTTGTTCAGGTGTTCATGGCTAAACTGTTGCCACATTTTCATGTTATCTCCTAAAAGGTACAATGGATTCATCCCTAACTCTCACCATTTTCCTCTGGGACCTTATATTTCCCTAATTGCTTGGCTTTTTATGATGTGTAAATGGTTTGTGCTCATTATATTGATAACATGTTTTTTCTTTATCTGCAATAAAAAATGAAAATTAAAGGAAGAGGCAAGTTCATATAATTACATTAAATTTTAATTTAATACTCTACAAAGAATTCAATCACTTTTCCACATTCTTCCCAAAAACAACATTAAGAAAAAAGCATTGTAAGAGGAAAAGAGATCTACTTCCTTTTCTAGGTTAAAAAGCGAAAATTTGGAGCACCTGGATGACTCAGCCGGTTAAGTTTCTGACTCTCGATTTCAGCTCAGGATATGATCTCATGGTTTGTGAGATGGAGTCCTGTGTCTGACAGCACAGAGCCTGCTTGGGATTCTCTCTCCCTCTCTGTCTACCCCTCCCCTGCTTGTGCTCTCTTTCTCTCTCTCTCAAAAATAAATAAACTGTAAGTAAGTAAGTAAATAAATAAACAAATAAAGTAAAAATTCAATTATGATAAAAAAATATAAACCGTTTAAATCAATAGTCCTTTTAGTAAATAAATTGAGGTCATGAGTTCGAGCACCATGTCAGGTGTAGAGATTAAAGAGAAAGAGAGAGGAAAGAATGAAGGAAGGAAGGAAGGAAAAAAGGAAGGAATTGACATAGAATATATAAAGAAAAACTTACCTGGGGCACATATGTGCTTCAGTTGGTTAAGCATCCAACTCTTGATTTAGGCTCAAGTCACGATCTCAGAGTCATGAGTTTGAGCCCCATATCAGGCTCTGCACCAACAGCCTGCTTGGGATTCTCTCTCTCCCTCTCTCTCTGCCCCTCCCCCACTTACACGTGCGTGTGTGCTCTTTCTCTCAAAATAAATAAACATTTTTTTTTTTAAAAAGAAAAACTTACCTGATAAATTTATCTGGATCTTTAAGTGACTCAGGCCTGTCATCTCTCACTGTAAAGAAAAATATGAAAGGGATCTGGTTGACTTAGAAGAAGGAATAAATGGTTTTATGTACACTCTTTCCAAACCCTCAATAAAATAGTAATAAAAGAATAAAACTAAAGTATAAAACCTCAAGGAGAGCAACAGAAAAACAGGCAGAAAATCATCAAGGTGAAAGATGTTAAGTGGTAACTGTCTTAGCCAAAAAATTGAAATCAAATGACATGATGAGGGGACACCAATAAAAAGCATATGAATTTACACTTCAGAACCTGGGAAACAATTTAGGAATTGGAGATGCCAGATGCCTCTGACTATGTAATTTGTTGCGCAAACCAGAGCACAGAGTAAAGGGGGGTGTTAGAAATAATTATAGCAGGACTGTCCCAGGCAGTCTGGTGTACATGAACACCCTCGTTACCAGTAAGAGAGACAGGGTCCAGTCCCAAAGAAGATGGCAGGATTTGGCAAGGTCATTGGGACCTCCATCATCTGGGTTTGAGCTCACAGCTTAGCGTGTTCTTGTCAATACGCCAAGGCAGAGACCTGAGACCTAGCTGTTCAGGCTAGACAAACATCACGTTATGGAAAGTTTGGGGAATGAGAGGCATTTGCATGTCTGCATACCAAATACCAGACTTAGGCTTAGGCTTAGGCTTAGGCTAATGAAATTAATTCCAGACCACTGATCATGAGGGAGAAGTCCCCATGTATTTAAGGTATGTACCAGCACGAGGCAGGGCCAAGCCTGCAGATTCTGGACCATAGTGGCTACAACCTAGTAGGCCTGTGGAAGGCAGAACTGATTGCAGCTACTTCAGTTTTTTGGAACAACAGAGAGGAAATTGCCCTTTTCTCTATGAAAGCCCTTCAAATATTTGAAAACAGCTTTTACAGCTGCCTTTTATCATTTCTTCCATTAGCTAAACATACACAGTTTCTTCAGCTCAGGGAATGTGATGCTCCAGATTGAGCATGCTGGTAACTCCAGATGAGGGCCCTGCACACCAGAGTAGGGTAGGATTTTCACACAACAGGTACCTGATGGAAAGGCACTTTCTATACCTTAAGTTTGTGATCAAATAAATTCCCCAAGAAGTTTTTCAGGGAGTTCTGCTGCCAAGTCAGCTCTCTCTTATTCTTTCCTGGGAAGTTTTAATGCTCTGATCCCAAATGAATGACTTTATGCTCATCCTATTAAATTTGGAGGCACAAGGGAAGGGGAACGCCTGGGTTGAAGGTCTGACCTCTGCAGCTTGCTCTCTGTGGCCTAGGGCCAACCACTTCACCAATGACCCTCAGCTTCCTCACTGAGGAAGAGGCTGAGCATCAGATGAATAAATGTGTGTGAAAGCATTTTGTAAACTATGAAGTAAAATCAGGATCTAAGTTTACATGCAGTTTTTCATTCATTCATTCTACAAGTTTTTATTCAATACCTACCAACAGACAGTACACTGGGTACTGAGGGTGTAGTTCTAGCCTATAATCAATGCCTCCAGAGAGGATACAATTTGCTGCCTCTTGAGTTTCTCTTTTATACAATTAACTATCTGTTCTAGTTTTGGGTTATCTAAAACTATGGTAATTCCTTTTAAGCATTTTCTAGCTCTCTTTATTAATCTTTTAAACTATATGAAATATGACTCTTGAAGTATTCTAGTGAGACATTTTTTTCAAGTTGTTACAAGTAGTGGCACCTGGGTGGCTCAGTCCGTTGAGTGTCTGACTTCGGCTCAGGTCATGGTCTCCTGGCTCATGAGTATGAGCCCTGCATCAGGCTCTGTCTCTCCCTCTCTCTCAAAAATAAATAAACATTAAAAATTTTTTTTCTAAAGTGTTACAAGTAATTTATTCTCACTGGATGAAGTTTTTCACAGAAATCCATAGTTTGATACCCTCTAATTTAGAACAAGTTTTCTACTACTTCTCCCCTGCCTCCCACCCCCTTAGCAGCTGTCTCTGCTGTATCATGGACACTCTTGCCCTTGGAAGCTGCAGGAAGTCAGTCTCTTTATGGAACCCTAGGCCACCACTCATAGTCTGGCTGAGGTGGCAAGCAAGCTGATAACTATTTACTGTCTTGGATTTCCACATATTTCACCAACATAACTAAAGAATATGGTGAAAACCTGCCAAAGTTCTATTTGCTCTGTTGCTCCTGTGCAGGGAGATTTAGCAACCGGGGCAGCTTTTCTGTCTGACTTTATGGCACAGCTGGAGAACCAAAAGGAGTGAAGGATGGCATCTACTAGACAGGAGGACAAAAGGAAGGACTCTAAAGTTTTTTTTTTTTTCTCATCCTTCCTTTTTGCAGGGCAAACCCAAAATCTATTGCACAGAATCATTTGCTATAGAAAATCCTTTAAAACCAGTTTTTAAATTTCCATTTACTAGACTGTGGACATAGCTTTGTTATAGAATCTTTCTCTATAATGATGGTACTGTAGGGCTCAATGAACGGTTAAGTGATATAAATTGTTTATTCATTCATTCCACAAATAGTAACTGAGTGTAGAGGATACAGTTGTGGAGGCTATAGTATTCCAGTGGGTCAGAAATGTGGCCAGAGTGAAGCGATCAGACTCCTCTGTGTACAAACCAGTTTCAAAACTGTCAGGGATTGGTTGAGGGACTCCATGACTATCATGACGTGTTTGAAGATACTGAAAAAGATGCCTGTCATCACTGCTTGATTTGCACCAGACCCAGAAGTCCTATGGAGGAGCACTTGAACTTGGTCACAATTGTACAGACCTAGCTAATGGACTGGCAAGCCCTACAAAGGGAAGGGAAAAAGAAGCAGAGGACATCTGAACAAAAAAGTACAGAGAGCTCCGTTTGGGAGAGCGAGTCTGAACAGCAAGGCTTGCTGTTGGGGAGGTAATACCAGCTATGACACATGGCTGCCGTGTGCCGCTAGAAGGGGGAGGGGCAGGACATAGAGGAAAGAACTGTCCCTAGGGGCCTAACCCTCATTTGTGGCA